AGCCATAATTTCTTAGGGCAGTCAATAGCTGAAGCATTCCCTGCAAAAATATTGGGTTGAAATACAGAGAAACTAGAATATCCCCATACACCATAAAGAAAAATAAACATTAGGGTGATAAAGTACTTCCTCTCTTGTCAAAAATGTATTGCTAGATGTAAAATCGCGGCAAGCGAACCTCGTGCATGAGGTTTTTAAATTCGGGCCTCTGTAGAAATGTGCTCTAACAGGATGATGTTTATTTTCCCTGGCTGCTGCTGGCCCTGGAGAGCCCCCAGCCATTGTGTTCCTGCAGGAGGAGGATTTCCGCTAGTAAACCTGCCAGGGGAGCACAAGCAGGCATCCCAGGAGCTGCGTTTCCTTAGGAGAATGGAAAACCCCTGAGTGCCAGGAGCTGTTCTGTGACAAAGTAGATGTGGGCAGCCCAAGGTCCAGCAGGTGAAGTTATGTTTGCTTTGAGCCTCTGCACAGGCTGGTCAGGGGAAAGGAGATGTGGGGATGTCCAAAGACAAAAAGAGAAAGTCCCCATGCTTTTAAAACTACCATTCCAAGGATGGAGGAGCCCACTGGGGCATTCCACCTCCTGAGCCGCTTGGCAGCTCAGCTGAAGACAGAAGAGCCCCGTGTGTGCCCCTGCAGAGCCCAGGGCAGCTCCAGGCTGTGTCCAGCTTCCAGCTGCTCCTTGTTTTGAGTGGTTTCACTGGTAACCCAGCTGGAAGGGTGGTTTTGGCACATTGCCTCTTGGTTCCTACCCCTGCAGAAGCTCCTTCACCCCTCCTGCCTTAGCACAGGGCAGCTCCCCCACGCTGCTGCACCGAAGCTGAATGCACATTTCCCATAAAGCAAACTGGGTCACTTCATTTCTCCTGCAGAGCTCCTGATTCCCTCTGACTGTCCCACCACAGCCCTACACCACATGCACAGACATGATCTCTCCAGCAGATCACTCAGCCAGGCTTCCCCAAGAGCTGCCACATCTGGCAGTAATTTTGTTATAAAGAGACTTTTGAGAACTGTCACCTCATTCTTACCTGTTCATCTTGCTCCTTCCTTGTGCACCTGTGGACAAGCAGCACAGCACAGAGCACAGGATCCTTGTGCAGGCAGGGAAGCAGCACCAGGGCTCCTGTTTAACCCTTTGGGCCCCACATCCTGTCTGATGGAGCTCCCGGGGCAGGTGGGATCCATTGCCTCTCCTGGCTCGTCAGCGCTGCCCCTGCTCCAGCCCCTCACCTGGGCAGAGGACACCCCCAGCCCGTGCCCAGCACTGCATCACCGGCTGGGAGGCTTACAGCTCCCTGTTTCCCCCAGGGTGTTTGGGCAGCTGGGCTGTGCCAGGCTCAGGCCCCACCTTTCCCAGCAGAAAGAAAGAATTGGGCCAACAGCAAGTGGGCTGTGTCTGCCCCTGAACAGCAGCCACCAAACAGAGCAGGCCTCTGGGAAGGAAAAAGAATTCCTAAGACCAAGCCTTGGAGCAGCTGAGAGCACAGGATTTATTTCAAAAGGCAGCAGGCAAACTGCTGGATTGCTTTATTTACCAAATAATTTAATTACTTCATCTGCACGGTTATTTGTGAGACCTTCCATCCTGCCACTCTTATGTGGCCGTGTCAGGAAGTGAGGCAAGAGTGCAAGAATGAACAAAGCAGCAGTTAAAAGTTCCACTTCAGTTATGTGGGTCAAAATCTCAATAAGACACAGAAAGCTGAAAGGAAAATGAAAGTGAGTCTTGCAGGCACCTTGCTCCGACATCAGATCCCTGCAGTGCTCTGCCCTGTGTCCGGGCGCTCGGGGCAGAGCCTCGTGCTGCTGACCCAAAAGCTGCTCTGGCAAACAGTAAAGCTCAGAGTGTTTCCATCAGTGTGCCTGCACACCTGGGGGCTCCCCAGAGGCCTCAGGGGGCTGCAGAGGTGGCCTCGCCTCACCAGCCAAAGGACAGACTGCCCAGAGGGTGAAGCTCCTCCTGGGCTCCAGGAAGATTATTTTTAGCTTACGTATTTTTAGAAAGTGAAAACCAAATTGAAACCAGAAGTCAGCTGAACTGGTATCTTCGTTACTGTCAACATGAGCAGTGAAACTCTGAGCTGCCAGTGTGGCAGTGGCATGGTCAGGACACCTCTGCTGCTGGAATCCTCACGGAGGTGTCAGCTCCTTCCCGGTGCCCAGGGCAGCCAGGCAGCACCCCTCACACAGCCCTGCACGGGATCCCACAGCCTGAGTGGGAGTCCTGCCCTTCTGGGGGCATGTTCTTGTCAGTGGCTCCTAAAGCCATGCAGAGCAGCAGCTGCTGGGGCACAGGGCGCTGCTGACCCCTGAGCAGCACTGCCTGGGCACTGCTGGGGCAAAACGTGATGGGAACAAAGGCAAACCTGGCAAATACCCTCTAAATGTCAGGAGAAACATTGCGGGACATTTTACACATTCCAAGCTGCAGAGGACCTGAGGTTTGGTTGGGTTTGGAATGAATAAAAAATAGATCCATGTGATTTCTCGTGGGTGTGGAGCTGGTTGTGAATTCCCTCCAAAGACAGGCTCCTGCAGCTCACACCTGAGGAGCAGCCTGAACACAGCCCAGTGTCCTGGCCCTGTGTTTGCCTGGAAGTGGCTGCAGGGCTGGGAGAGCCAGGGCAGCCCCCAGCCCCTCGCCCTGCCCTCCCCACTCTTCCCAGGAACAGTTATTTTTAGGTCACTTACCGCCACTAAAACATACTTGGACTGTTTTCAGGATGACTCACAGCTGAATTCCTGTTCTGGAGGCATTTTCAGTCCACACCCAAAATGAGGGAAGACAAAATAAAATGAAACCAAAAACACCCTGTCTGAATGAGAACCAAAGCCCGTGTCCAGCTGTGCTGGTGCCAATGCCTGCAGCCAAGTGTGGCTCTGCCTGGGGGGACCTGCACCGCTGCCCATCACCTGCAGCCACACCTGAACCCACCTTAGCCCTGCCTAGCCCAGCTCAGGTGTGCTTTGGAGCTTTAGTAATTCAATTTCTCCATGTGCTACTCAGGAGTAGAAGAATTAAGCGGAGAGGAACAAGTATGTGAAGCTTGAACGTAGTGGCTTACATTCTCTTTTCTATCCCACATTAAATTGCAAAACCAGCAGCATCAGGGTAAATTGTGTAATGATCAGAGGCTTCGCTCATTAGTTTAGGGAAATGGAAGCCATGGAGACTAGGGATTGCTGCTAAAGCAGAGGTACAGGCAGGGCTGTCAGCAGGGGGAAGGAGCAGAGCCCCGCAGGTCCCTGAGTCCCTCTGAGGTGCCTGGGCTCTGCCTGGAGCTCCCCAGCCGAGCAGAGCCTGCGGTGAGCAGCACAGCTCACGGGGAGCCAGGTGGGTGCTGAGACCTGCACTGGTGTGAGGACAGCAGGGAGGGAACGCTCAGCTCTGCTCAGCACTGGGGTCCCTCGGCACTGCTCTGCCTTGGCTCCTGTCTGGCGATGGATCTGTGGGATGTACTGACAGCAGGAGCAACACCTGGGGCCGTGGGCACCCGTGGGAAAGTGCCATGCCCGTGTGCACTCAGACAGAACCCTTGGTGGCTCAGTCATATTAATCCATAAAAACTGTCACTACACACTGTTTACAAAGAGAAACCAGCTCCTGGCCATTGACACAGGGGCATGGGGTGCCACATGCTGTACAGACACCTCTCTGGAGAAGGCACCCAGCGTGCCCGTGGCTCCAGCCCTGCCTTGGGGCTTGGACTGGGCTCGTTGGGCAGGACTGGACCCAGGCAAGACCAGGGCAGTGAGACCTGGAGGCTGTTAGGCTGGCAGTGCCTCCTCTTCCAGCAGACCCAGCCTCAAGGAGGAAATCTAAATTGACCAAGCACCTTGAGCTTCGGCATGGCTGTTTCTGTGCCAAAAAAACCCCAAAGCGAGTTTCTTCCACGTTTCTGCAAAGGGCACAGGGTCACCTCCCTGGCAGGCACAGAAGTGCTGCTGCTGTGTGGGGCTGGGGACCAGACCCTGCTTTGATGACTCTGACAGGGCACAGGCCCATGAGACATGGACCGAGGCAGATGCTGAGGTCTCATGGGCACTCCGGAGATCAGCAAATAAAGTAAAACAACACAGAGGAGACTTTTCCCAGTTTTTTAAGCAGTTTATTCTCCAGGGGCTGGTGCCCCCAGCACAGCAAAGCACATTGCAGGTGACTGCCACATCAGAGAGCAGAGCCCAGGCTGGGCTGGGTGAGACCCGAGCCGTGCCGGTGCTGGGGAGCAGGGGGTCCCTGGGGCGGGGGCCCTGCGTGCCTGCAGGTCTGCGGGCAGGGGAGGGGGCTGCCCACAGCCTGCCCACGCTCCCCCAGCAGCCCTGGGCAGCCCGAGCTCACGGGAGCTCAGTGCTCCATCGATCTTTCCCCTGTCTCTTTGGAGTGGGGGCAGTCCTTCGGAGAGTAACGTGTGCTGCTGTTCGATCCTGCAGGGAGCAGCCAGGGACTGGCTCTCATTAGCTCCTGGTTCATTAGTAGAACTGCTAATGAAGTGTGAACCCTGAGGTCTAAATTCTGCTTCAGGCTATAGATTCCACGGGTGCTTATGGACAGTTATATTGAAGATAGGTATCTCCATACCCTGCTAAGTGGCAGTGTGAGTGCCTGGCTGTCCTGGTGACACATGAAGGCACGTTTTGCCCCAGCCCAGGCCAGGCCCACGTTATGGCTCACAAAGCAGCTGTCTGAGAGCTGCGTGCTTGCCCTCAGAGAGCTGATCTGGTGGCCTTCAGATGGCAGCATTAATGGGCTGTGGGGTATCCACTGAGGGCAGGGTCCTGCTGGGAGCGAGCAGAACATCCCTCCTGGTTTGCTGGAGGCAGCTCAGCAGGAGTCTCCTGTACAGTAAGGTAACAGGTGCATTTAGAGGAACACAATCAGCTCATACCTATTCTATTGCATAAATAAAGTTATCTAAAAAAATGGCACATTGCTGAATGCTCTCCCTAAGAGAGTTTCCTCCCAGACCTCTCCCACTACAAGGGGTCTGCTTACTCATTCACTTCCCAGTGGTTGTTAGCCTGCCCAGGAGCTGTCTTGTTCTGGCCATCAGCATCTCTCTGAAGTGGTCCCCCATCAGGAAATAAAAAACAGGATTGATGGCACTATTTAGAAAGGCAAAGGGTCTTGTGATGATGTAAACGGTGCTGATGATTCCCTGCGCGCACTCGGGGACGTTCAAGGCTGGGATCCGGGACGCGATGCGGACGTTGCGCATGACGTGGTAGGGGGTGAAGAGCAGGGAGAAGATGACCACGGTGAGGATCACCAGGGTCAGGGGCTTCTCCAGGGTCAGGGCAGAGCGGACCTGCTCGCTCCTGCTTTTCAGAAAATGAACCATCTTCACGTAGAAGCAGCACATGGTCAGGAGAGGAATGAGGAAACCAAAGACCGTCAGGAACATGCTGTAGGCGAGGCTTTTCCCGGGGTCTCCCGAGCTCGCGTAATCAAGACACTCGTCGGTATTGGCAGGTGTTAGAGCTTCCAGGAAATGCAACAGCGGCAGCTGCTCCAGGATCACCCCAATCCATATGGCCAGGGACACCGTGACAGCTGTTCTCCTCTTCTGCAGGAGGTGGTCCCTGAAGGGGTGCTTCATGAGCATGTACCGGTCAGCGCTGATAGCGGTGAGGAAGAGGATGCTGCTGTACAGGTTGGCGTGCAGCAGGAATCTGTTGCTGTGGCACAGGATGCTCTCCTTTGCCCACTGATCGTTGGAGTAGCTGTTCACCAGTATTGGCAGAGTGCACAGAAGTAGCAAATCTGATATGGATAAATTGAACAGGTAGATGTTGCCGCTTTTCCATTTTTTCAAGCAGAAAATATAGCCAAATACCACAACGGTGTTTCCAATGGCACCTAAAATGAACTCAAGGCTGTACATGGTGGGGAGATAATACTTTTCCAGTACTCTGCTCATCAGAAAACAGTCACTGGTCTCGTTCGCAGCCTGGAGAATCAAAAGAAAAAAAATAAACACCTAACCCAAGTAAAAGATCATTGCGCAGTTATTGTTATATCATTGCTGTAATCAGTGAATGCAGCCTGCTATTTCCTTCCAGCCTACAGGGTAAGTAGATATGTGACCTCAAATATCTCTCACACAAGGGATTGGTACTTGCAGACACTGATCAGTTACAGAAGAAGATGAAAAGTCGCCCGAGTGAAGACCTGTGTGAGGAACTCGAAGTGGGAGCATCACCTGGATGAAGGCATCAGTCACTGCGTGCCAGCTTGGCCACAGCCAGGGCAGTGCCAGGGGCCAGGAAAGTGAAACCAGCCCGTGGGTGCCCTGTCAGAGCCTCGTGGAGTCATCTGCCCCGTCACCCAGCACGGGCCCCGTGGGTTCTCCCTCGTCGCCGAGGCAGAGGTTTGCTGACAAGGCTGGTGAGGGATGAATGCATCAGCACCGCTCGGAGCTGCCTGGGGAGCCAGGAGAGATGTGTTTGTTAAACGAACCCAGCCCTTAATTGAGCACTTTGTGTGCTGTGCTGGAAACTGGGTACCAGAATTGCACAGAGGATGGAGCACATCTCCTGTGCATTCTGCCAAGGCTTTCTTCAAAGCTGCACCACACATGAGCTTGCTTTCTTTCTAAAGGCTGGTTAAAGAAATGCTTTCAGCTACAGGGAAGGAAATAGAGCAGGATCTTTACTCCTCTCCCTCCTCAGCAAAGCCACCTGCCCCTGCCACAGGACACAGACAGCTTTCGGTGAGAGCCTTGGATAAAGTGTCAGCAAACAATTGGAAAGCAGGGAAAGCCAAATGCCAGAAACTGGGATATAGATTAAAACTGAACTCAAGCTAAGGTTAAGCATTTCCAAAGGTGTTTTGGTGTCAAGAACTTGTTCTCAGGTCTCTGCCCTCAAAGCAGAGATCAGCTGTATTTCATTTCAAAGGGAATCATAAGGCAGAACAAAAACTCCATAAAGTCATTTCCATCGAGCCTCTACACTTACTCTGTGTCCCCCAGGAGACAGAAATTCTACAGAGAGTGCTTGCTCTGCTCAGACTTCACCTGCTGCACCTGCTGAGCCCTGTCTGATCATTTCTTGAGGAGAAACCCAACACCTTAGTGAGATTCTAAATCTAGAAAGCACATCACAGACATCAGCACCTTAAATAGCGATGGTAATTGAAAGTTTGTATGGAGAGCTGCATTAATTTAGCGAGTTGTTAGGAAAAGGCTGACAGATGACTTTTAAGGTAAGAGGGTGAAGCAGCTAGAAGCCCACTCAGAGGTGGTGGAACAGAAGAGTGCCCCGGAGCCCTTACCATGGCCGGGCCGGTGCTGCCTCGCCGCAGGTCCGCGGAGCCGCGCGCTCGCCGCGTGCGCAGCGTTCAGTCATTAACGTTCAATGATTAACGAGGCCGAGGCGGGAGCTGCTGGCTGAGCCCCAGGTGCCAGCACCCCTTCCCCTCCACCAAGGGGAGGGCAGCCCTGGCCTGAGGGGCAGCGGGGGCCGCAGGAAGGGCAGCGCTCGCTCCGCACGCAGCAGCGCATCGCTGCTGCATGGCCGCTGCTTCACTCAGCACTGCTGCATCAACTACTGGCAGAGATAAAATACAATAATGCTGCTAATGTGGAGTGACCAAACCCCGCAGTGACCAGTTCCACCCCTCTGCCATGGGCAGGGACACTTCCACTAGACCAGGCTGCTTCAAGCTACGTTCAACCTGCCCTTGAACATCCTCGGGTATGGGGCAGCCACAGCTTCTCTACCTTCCCCCTTCCTCCCCTTTATTGTGATGGACTTCACAGTTAGCAAATATTAACTCTATTAATATATATAAAAAGCTATTGTAGCTTTTCTCTGTGGACAAGGCCAATAAATCAGATCATATTAAGACATTGCAGAAGCTGATTTTAAATTTCCCCCATGGCTAATAACTGACATTGGCTTCTCATTTACCAGCTTTTAAATGTCTTGTTCATTCAGGGAACTGCTGTTGCACTGAAGGATTAAATAGGGCTGAACAAATGGAGCATTTCTTCCTTCCTGCAGCAGTAACTCCTCAGAAAACTGGTGAGGGAGCAAGAAATGCTCCTTAATGTCATTTCGGTAGGCTTAGATCAGTCCCTCCTTTACAGCTCTGTGACTATTGCTTCAGTTGGTTGTACTCCTAAGCAGTTTTCTAACCCTAAGTTATTCTGAGGCTGCCCCAGTCACACATGCTGGCACCTGTAATCGCACTGCCTTTCTGCAGCCCTGTGCAT